AGCCCTGTTTCACAAGATCAGTGCTCAGGTCCCATCTATTGTCCCATATTTCACTTCTGACTTTAAGCAGATTGCCTTTTGTTCCCCATTTACCCTGCATGACACTTCTCAGTCTGCAGGAGTCCAGGCTAAGGGACTCAAGTACATCAGGGACTCATCAAACTAAGATGTTATTTTGTTTAGCCAGAAAATATTAAGACCATAAAAGTCTCTCATGCCTGTGTGTAGAAATGAGGGGAGTGCCATGCAAAATGCCATCTAAAATTAAGAACAGTAGAGACCCACGGTTATCTTGCAGTTATTGTCTGATGCATCTCTAAGACACCTTAGGGGTTTTGGAGCTGTGTTTCATGAGGGTGTTTAGTTGGCTGGTGGATTTGCAGGAACATGCTCAAAAAATTCCTGTTTCTCTCCCCACCCCCAAAAAAGAAGGAAAAAAAAAAAAGAAACAAAAAAAGAGGAAAAGGAAAGCTTCTGCATCTCTTTATTCTGAAAACGACCCTTTCCTTTAAGCCTACAAAACCCTATCTCTTTAAAAATAGCCACCAATGTCAACAACATAAAGACAAACCTGACCTACAGATGAACAGCTCCTACAGTCCTGGAAACATAGGGGTTGATCCTTTCCTTTTTTTGCCCACTGGAAAGAAAAAACCCTGGTTTTAATGTTTGGGACTCCATGTGTCACGCGGTAGAAGGGGAAATGTCCCAGTCCCAGTGAAGACCTTGTTTGTTCTCCATGGGTCTAATCAGGTGATCAGGACAGCAAAGGTAATCCAGATTTCTTCTTTGCTACATCTCAAAAGGGAGCTGGGCACAGAGAGTTTACTTTCAGAAAACAAAGCTAAGACGCTTCTAATACTTAGATCTGTATTGTGAAATCAATGGGAAACAGCAATTCTTATTCAGAGTCACACTGTGTAATGAAGCAAAGAGAGAAGAAAAGACCATATTTTTCCATGAGAGCATCTGGGGCAGCTGTAACTACTCCAGACGATTTAATCTTTTGGAGAAAGCTGAAATATAGTGGTGAAAAGGTATCATGACATTTCCTAGCATTAGATGCACCTTGTGTGTAGTACCTGCTGGCAGAGCAGCACAGAACTGATGCTTAGGTTTTCACTGCTTTTCATTAATACTAAAAGCAAAACCAATGAGGAAAATGGAGCAGGAGTAAAAAAATGCAGACAGCTTTTCCGTGAGCTTCTTTCCCAAATGAACCAAGAAATAAATTAAAAAGCTTTAGCTTGCCATCTTCTCCTATTGACCTACTCATCCAGACTTATGATCCTCACCATAACTCCTTGGAACACCTAGCTAGGCTGAATTAAGTTTCAACCACCAAAGCCAATGACTATTTTCTTGACGTCTCTTACATCAGTTATGTCCTTGGGCTATTAAGCTACAAGCCCTTATCTCTTATTAACCAATGGAAGAATAATACTGGAAGAAGATATGATGGCTCAGGCTAGATAAGCCAATGCCATGAATTTTTTTTTTTAAACCAAAGAAGAGATGTTACCCAAGCCAGGTTTGATTTAACATCACAAATAAGAGAAGGTGTATCAACCATAAGCTACCCTTAAAACTGTCTCCAGATATTAGAGGAAGAACAAGGTCCCCTCTAGTGGAAAGCTGCGGAATATGTCGAGTAGGAGATCCTGAAAGTCTTGGTTCTGTAGTATCTCGTTAGTTTTCTCCATACCACCTTTGCCAGGCACACACCACCTGGCTAATCCAATGAAAGCAGAGCTACTGCCTTTACTACTTGGATGTCTGGGCCTTGGGTCTTAACTCCTGCTCTTGGCCTTTGGGATTTGTTATTGCACTTTTCTCAGAGAAATCAGTGTTATCGTCAATCTTGTCATTAATGATTCAGTTTGCAAAGCTTCAGCAGCTGTGGCTGTAATTTCTCCAATGCAATTTCTCCATCTGGTGGTGTAAAAAGCAGCTCCCAGGCTGCTGTAGGTCAGTTTGCTCCACTCCAGCAGTGTTATTTTACAGCCACCATGAGCTGGCATTCAGATTCCACCTGACTACCGTGATATGATCTAGGGGAAAATGTAAACTGGTTTTGGATGATACCTGTAAATTTACTGCCCTCCGTGCCCACTTTGGGCATAATGACAAGTTTTGTTAGGCAGGTTGTTTTCGTGAGAGTCTGTAACCCTCATTAATGTGTTCCTTTCATTCCACCCACACACTCTCATACACAAGTTGATATATCCCTCAGGTTACCCAGGGTTGGTCCTTCTGAGAGGAGGAACATTTGGTTTTTAACATGTCATCTTTTTTTCAGTAAGACACAACCTGTGTACGTTATCTTATAAATACAGGCTTTGAATACCTTTGCCATCTGATCTTGGCAGAAATGAATTAAGATTAATTTCAAAGGCTCCAGCAGTCATGATGCAGGTTTCTTAGCAGGGGTTTTTGGTAAGTTGGTTGGTTTTGGTTTCATTTGGTTGGGCTTTTTTTCAGTTTTGGGGGTGTTTTTTTAGTGTGAGAGACAGTGGTTTGCTTAGAGAGGAGGGGGTTAAGGAAACTAGTTGTAAATGGGCAGATTTTCTTCATTGAAGATTTTGGATCCAGAATAGATTTGCTCCTCTTCTCTCTCACCAAATAGGTACAGATTGAGTCAGCACCCTCATTCTGCACATCCCAAAGAGCATTAATACCAGGATTAATGGCACTGCAATGTGTTTCCAGCTGCAGGGCAGGGGAGCAGTTTTTCCTGCCTAAACCACAGATGGATCCCATCCTGCAGCTGCTTTACCTGTAAACTGGAGTTTGTAAAGCATAAGCATTCACTCAGCCCCCCCAACAATACACAGTGAGCTCATGCAACCCTGTGCATGTCCCAAGGAATGACATCTCTGCACACAGGCAGAGTATGGCCTGAATGCAATTTTTAACACCTTTTTTCCTTAATTTTCATTGTGACACCTTATGAAAAAAATCAGTTAAGGGAGAGAACAGCAGAGAGCATGTAACTGGAATATGATTGACACCTGCCGTATCTGTGTTAGAATAAATGTGTTTTCATTAACTGGCACTAGGCGTCTCTGCAGCTCCCTAAGTGAAGGTGTGTTAATATGAACTGATACCTCCTCAGGATTTACATATGCATATACACATACACACACAGACTGGATGACAGACCTGTGTTCCTGCAGGGTCGCCTCCTTCCCAGCTGGCTGTATGCCTCTTGTATTCCCTTTTGTTCCAGCTGAAAAGGTGGATAAAGTCCCTTTCCTGGACTTAATGTACAGAGCACAGCCATAAATCTGGACATCGGAGACCTCTCAGACTGAGGATGAAATCGAAAACAGGTCCTCTGCTCATGCCTGGAAGCAGCAATACTCACTCATCTTCAGGATGTAAAAACTTAGGGGTAGGACTGAGATGCAGACTTAAACACAGACGTCTACATACTTATTCACACTCATCATTTAGAATCATTGCAATAGATGGAGATATAGGACTCCAACCATTTGTCTGCATACAGATGCAGAATTTCTGAACCTGGCTTCTCTCTGTACTGCTCTAGCATGGCAGATCATACCTGGAGGCAGTCAGCTGCCACTGTTCATGCTTGTAGTAATATTTCTGTGCTTGTGAACATCTTTCCCATCCTTGTTCCTCAAGTCTTATACCACCTTCAGTAGCTTATAGCACCCTTCATGGTGCTTTTGGTGACTTTGTTGAGGCTCATTAACAAAGCAGGACATGGTCTTCATTTGCTGGGCTCATTTTCTGCCAGGATAGGTTGGGCAGGAGAGAAGAGAGGGGAAAGGAAAGAGAAATACCTTTTCGGTGACAGATCAGCTCTCTGTCTTAAAAATATAGGGTAAAGAGAAAGCAATTGGATTAATACAAATCTAACTTATGGGACCTGAGATAAATAAACTACTGGAGATAACTCCCTTCTTTCTCCATGCAGGAGACAAAGCCATGCTGCTCTATATACTCAGAGATGGTATATCCAGCAGATACAACAGGTAGAGTGTTAGTCATCACAGCAGCTTGCAAATTATTCCCCATTAGCTTTTTAGCAAAATACCTCATTGCTGTTAACCTTAAGATAAAAATTGCTGAGATATTTACAAAAACACTAGGAGAAAAATTGCTCCTGATAAAACTACTCTTCAAAATTTTCCAGGAGGAGAGAAAAATAGCAGCCACATAAAAGTGTGGCAAAACCCCTGGCTTCAAAACTGCTCAGGGAAAGAGTGAAGACAGGAATGCATTCAGCCTTGCTCCCCTGAGACCCCAGTTTCTGCTTCAGTATGCTGAGCATCTCCACATCCCTTTTTTCCCAGTGGGGTCTTGTCATCTCTTGTGTTTTCTGAAGGGATGATGAGCTGAGGACAGCTACTGCCTGCAGCAGCACAGATGCAGTTTGTTGTTTGCTTTTTTTTATTCTGTGCATATCCTCCTACAGCTTGATTTATATTTCTTTCATCAGAAAAAAAGGTGGATAAATCTTTTGGGAGATATTCAGTTCTTTACATTTCCTCCAGTAGTCCAGAGAAAGAGGCACTTGAGAAGGAAGGCAAGATTGCTCTCACGTGTCCAAGCCACCTCTCAGAAACCACATGAGCTATAACTTAGAAAAGTCCATTCTTTGGGTTTTAGCATCCAGAATATACTTAACCCCTATTCACATGCAAATCCTATTTACAAGGAGGTATTAAGGAATATTTCTCAAACTCCTTAAGGTCCTCAAGAAGAACAAATTTTAAATGAATCCTGTTCTCCCATTAGTTCAGACCTTCATCTTTGTGCATTTCCAGGCTTATCCAAAGTCCTCTCACTCCAGGTTGCACTTTGTTTCCAGTTGTTGCACAGTGTATTTTATGTACAAGATACTGTCTTGCCAAATGGCCACATTCGCCTTTGGTGGCTTCAAAAGGTAATAAATCCATACATTCAGAGGCACTCAACAGCCTGAGCATATGGTGACAGCATGTCCCTGTCTGCTTCCAGTACCCTACCCACAGCAATTTGACAGTGCCCTCCCTGAAAGACTACCAGCACTGTCTTTTAGCAGGGTCACTTCTTCTTTGCTTTAGCATTTCCACCGGCCTTGCCATTAGTTTTGGTGTCTCCTCCTGATTTTACTGCTTCACCTTTTTCACCTTTCTTCCCACCACCTTGTTTCTTGTCAGTATCATCTTTTTCTCCCTTTTCTCCCTTTTCTCCCTTTTCTCCCTTTTCTCCTTCTTTCTTTTTGGCTCCATCCTTTCCTTCTTTCTTGGATCCTTCTTTCTGGTCCTTTTCACCATCTTTCTTCTTGGAGTCTTTGGATCCATCTTTTTTACCCTGAGCTTTGTCCACTTTTCCAGATACAGTGGGAACTTCTTCATTTTTTTCTTCTGCAGCCTGAGCTGTATTAAAAGACAGAAAAAGAAAATATGAAAGCAGTTACCTTGGGTTGACAGTAGCCAGGAGAAGGGCAAAATTCCTGTTCTCTGCTGGCAAACCTTGGACAAAGAGAAAATATTTGTACTGGGGCTGTGTCCGGTGTCTTGCTCACTGACTAGCAGCTTTCCATGCCTTTATTTTGAGAACATAGACTAATGAGATAAAGCAGAACCAGGAATTTCAAGAGTTGAGATGTGGATCTATTGTAGGAAATGGCTCTTCTTGTTAGGAACTGCTTCATGAACGTTATAAGCACAGTCCATAAGCATTTCCCAATAATGCCATTCAGTGTGGAGCTATCTCCTTCCACAAGAAGGAACAGAAACATCTCTCATGCAATTCAATACAGACCTGTCTTGGGTTTAGGGGTTTGGGTTTTTTTGGTTGGTTGGCTTTTCTAATTTTTATGTACAGGGTATGTCTTCTGCAAGTGAGAGTGGACAGCAGGGATTCTGCTAGGTAATTCACTTTCAGAGATAGACAAGCAGAAGATGGTTTGCTCAGCAGAAGACCATAAAGTAGGCTTAACTTTATGTTATGTCCAAGTTCAGTGACCATGGGACTGGCTTCCCACCTGACTCACTGTAATTAATTGAAGCAACACACCATGGGTATACAGTAATTAGCTACTAGTTAGCCCTAGTTTGGCATGTTTTAACAAGCCGTATTAGTTATAGGAAGCTTATAATACCTTTAGCTATGAAATATTTTTATATAGAAATACGCATATATGTGCTCACAGCCCAGAAAGCCAACTGTATCCTGGGCTGCATCAAAAGGAGCGTGACCAACAGGTCGAAGGATGTGATCCTGCCCCTCTATTCTTATCTCATGAGACCTCACTTGGAGTATTGTGTACAGTTCTGGTGTCCTCAACATAAAAAGGACATGGAACTGTTGGAACAAGTCCAGAGGAGGGCCACAAGGATGATCAGGGGACTGGAACACCTCCCATATGAAGACAGGCTGAGAAAGTTGGGGCTGTTCAGCCTGGAGAAGAGAAGGCTGCGTGGAGACCTCATAGCAGCCTTCCAGTATCTGAAGGGGGCCTATAGAGATGCTGGGGGGGACTCTACATCAGGGACTGCAGTGATAGGACAAGGGGGAATGGGCTTAAACTTAAACAGAGAAAGCTCAGGTTAGATATAGGAAAAAGTTCTTTACTGTGAGGGTCTTGAGGCACTGGAACAGGTTGCACAAAGAAGTGGTAAATGCTCCATCCCTGGCAATGTTCAAAGCCAGGCTGGACAGAGCCTTGGGTGACACTGTCTAGGGGAAGGCATCCCTGACCATGGCAGGGGGGTTGAAACTTGATCTTGAGGTCCTTTCCGACCCAAGCCATTCTATGGTTCAGTGATTCTCTGACCTTGGATTCAGCTCCCACATTTCAGGTGAGAAGACTCGTAAGTCTGACTATAATTATTCTGACAAAGGATTTGGTAGCAGAAAACTCTTCATCATCTTTTTTTTTTTTTATTTTCCTTCTACTGGAAGCGTTTCATTTCTGAAGTCAGAGGCTGATAAACTGAGCTCTCATCTCAAGAAGGAACTTGACACTTAAACACAGATCATATTTCATACATTTTTTATGGAGAATTTTTCCTTTGCTGAAGACCAGCTGAGTATGAAGTTTGGCAAAAACAAGTGAAAATGTGTTAAGTTTCCCATTACCTCCTTTTCTTAAAATCCTCAGTATCTGGCTCAAATATGAAAACAGATAAACATGTTAACACAACTGAATAATTAAAATAAGCCAAGATATAGCAATGACCTAGAAGCGACCTCAGCAAATGGAGGATGATTGGTCACCACTTAGCTTTGTTCAGCTGGCATCTAGGCGAAGTAAAATTATTTCATGTTTGTCACAGGCTAAGGAAAGATAAGAGTAAATCGGCTTAGGAGCTGATTTAGTATGGACCATTTGGTGACATGTCTCAACCCCTACCTGGAGCCACTAGACACCAACTTGATTAAGCAGCCCCAAATCTCCCAACACTATGGATGTCTGTAGTGGCACTATCAAATTGCAGCAATGTATTACCTGAATTTATTATGCTTACCTAAACTATTCCTTCAGTATGCACACTTAAAAAAGATAGCATCTTTTGACCTTGTGAACTGGCAATCCATTTGTACATAAAAATTGAAGGAGAACAGTATAGAATATTTCTTACAACCACAGAGGAAATCCTGTCATCTCATATTAAAAAGAAATAATCAAAAAGCAAACAAACAAAAGAACAAAAAAAAAAAAAGAGAGGAAATAATTATAAAACCCCACCACATTGTCTGCTTCCTAAACGAATATGGTAGGAACCAGGCAAACTCCCCAAAATGCCAGCTGGAGCAGCCTCAAAGCAGAAAACGTGAAGATCAACCAGGCCATGGACCCAGACAGTACATCTCCACCCAGAGCTAAAGGCCAGGTCCTGCTTGTACTTCTCCCAGACTGGGAGACAGAGCACAAATGAATTAATTTGTATATACATTTTATACACTGAAACTTTAAGTCCATTTTATTTATGTCCAGTAAAAGGGCTTGCCATATATGCCACTCAAAAAGTGCGTGGAGACCCATTTGGCATTTTCCAATGTGACAGCTAGAATTTTCCATAATGGTAAATGTGAAGTAGGATAAAATAATGCCAAGAAATGAGTGTTGAAGTGTTGCAATATATTAATTATTAATAGCATTTGACCTTTACACAAATCTTTAAAGCATTTAATGGCCACTCAGTAATTTAAATCACTCAAGTAATTTCTCTGGCCTTGACTGGGTCTACCAGGGATTGTCAAGGTATAAGTATATAGTCAACAAATACATACATTTTATTTTATGACCACATTAATCAACGTGAATTGTCAATGTCAGTGGGGTAACACAGCAGAGCATCACGCTCTGTACAGATGAAAATAGTAGCACAGAGATGAAGCCCAAAGATTTGCATACTTTCCATTGTACTGCTTAAATCATGTAGTAAAACTTTTCTGGGCACAGGGTACATGCTAATCTCAGAAGGAAGTCAAACCAGTGGGTTTGACCACACAAAGCTTTTGATTCTAACAGTTTAGGCACTGATAGCTGAATCAGTCCTTTGGGTCCCCAAGGCTGGAGACATACAGGCATTTTTAAGGCACAATTTACCTCTTCCACTTTAGCATCTCCCCTACCATGAAAGAAATCACATCCTTCTTATTTTCCACTGTGGATAAAGCAATAAACAACTAGTGCAGATGCAAACTTCTCCATATATGTGATAATGTACTTGTGGACAGATGACTCCCATCCCAGTACCACATCTCTCAGGGCAATTTGGGCAGGTTTATATCTGCCTAGTCCCATAGGACTAGAAGCTTCAGGGAACAGATATTCACGAGCAATTACCAGACATCAGCAGCCATTCAGCAACATGCCATCTAACAGCCTCCTACCCTGTGCCATGCCATAACCAGAATTCTAGGATTCTCAAAGGTCAATGGGTGGTCAACTAGTCAAATTATAAATTTAATTGGATAAATGTTTAGGTAGTTTTATGGTGTAGATGACTTCCCATAAATTGCATTCTTATGGTAATTTATTAATGAGTTCATGCTGCAATAATTCACCATGGTCTGATTAAATGTACACCAAATAGCCAGCCTTTGGATGTAGTACATGTTCATGGGATGTACAGGCTGCTTACAGGAGAACAAAATCTGTTAGCATTGGTGAAACAGCCATTTTGGTGCCCAAATACCCTTTCTAGATCATTCTTCTTATCACTAATGTATTGGTTTTCCAGGAGTAACAGCTAGGCAGGAAGAGGACGCAGCAGCAAATGAGTGGTCTGACTTTCTGCTATCTAGACACCTGATCTTTTACACTCTCTGGGACCTATTGATAGCTGGTTGGACTTTGGTCTTTTGGGCAGGAAATTGAAGGATACAATACTAAACACTTCCATGTGTTTAGTATTGTTCATTCATTTAAGAGTGTACTAACTAGACCTTGGGATGACCTTTGACTTTAAAGGAGGTTGAAAGAATTTAACCGTATGGAGAAGGACTTATTTATGTGAGTTGGGTTCAACTCCAAAGGGTATTCTGGCCACCCTTGGTTTATAATATAGGCACAGTCTGACGTCTGAATGTCTCTGAAATTCTGAGTTATGTACAAAATCCTGCTATTAAGCGCATAGTTCTGTATTTTGCTGGTATAGAACTAAATTTCTATAATTGTGCCATCTGCCTCTTTCACCGGTTTCATGGATTGAAGCATCATATTTTGAGTTAAGGAAACTTCCAGTATCTTCAAAGCTACAGTTCACATGGTTTGCAGAGGCATGGGGAAGAGAAAAAAAGTTCATGAAAAGGTACTGAGAAAACAGAAGTCAAATGCAGAAAGGGAACTGAGAAGCAGAGTCCAAGGCATGGTGGATCGCATCAGAAAAGAGAAGCCACAGACAAACAGACAGGAAGGCAGTCCCCTAATTTCCTTGCAGGGCCATTTCATCTTCTTCTCTCACAACAGGCAGGGAGTTGAGAGGTCTGGAGTGGACATGACCAGAGAGAGTTAGGAGAGTTTCAGTAGAGCCTAGGGTACAGAACCAGGAAAGATGAGTGAGAGCAGCAGAGACCAGTGACAGAAATACCATTGGCCATCAAAGAAAGGCAACACTAACAACTTTTTCTTCCTGCTGACATCTGCCAACCCAGTAACTGACCCTTAAAATGAATCAGACTCTGGAAATCTTAAACTTCAAAGGCATGACCCTGACTTGTACCAATGGAGAAACTTTTCATCCTTTCATCTAAGTGACAGTGCCTGCTGCCACAAGCACTGCAGGTTTAGTGCATGTGACTGTGAGGGGTTTACTAAGCCATGACAATATCTTAATGGTTGTATCCAAGAAGCCACAATGATTTACACTAAGGGAGGACCTAGCCCTTTGCATTCATGCATACAGAAAGCAATCCCCAAAAAAGACATGGGTCTCATGTAGGTGTGGGTATGGGAAGTACCTCCAGGGATCTCTGTCAGCTCGTTGAGTGGTGGCACAGTGTCCAGTTTGTCAGCGTATGTCTTGGCTGCTTGCCGTTGAGCATATCGTGCCTCAATTTCTTTTCTTGTCCGGGGAATTCGGCACTTGAAGATACAGCACAGCGTGATAACTGAGAAAGGAGAGAGGGAAGCATGAACATTCAGTTTAGTCAGCAGATTTCTGTCTCGTACAAGCTGGCCCACTTACAGTGGGAAGACAACAGGAAGAAAAATTACTTTCAGAAGAGTTGCTTCCAGTAAGAACCATTTACATCCGTGGAAGTACCTGCCTGAAGGATATGGTCACGCAGTCTAAAGCAATTGAGCTAACTGGAAATAAAAAATTGTCACTCTTCAGATGAGCTGTGGTAAAGGACTGAGCATGTCCTTCCCACCAAAACCAATGCAAACCATTGCCTTAAGCCATTTATGTCAGTGGTGTCTCTGAACATCAGAATAGCAACAATGTAAATTCGTTCTCTCTTTGGAAGTGACAGCAGCAAATAAGATGTACTGTCACCTTCCAATAAGGTATTATTGCTAGAGGTTCTTAACAATATATCTTAGCTATTCATTATTGTGGTAGGTAGATAAGGGGATTGTGGGCCTTCAGATGAAGAAAAAAATGAGGAGTTTGACATGAAAACACTTCAAAATAGATTCAGAACAACAGCTCAATATATGTCTTAATTGACTTTCATCTAAATCCACTTTGGGCAGACAAAGAATTGAACCAGATCTCCTAAATCCCCTCATCATGAGCTTACTATTCCATTGTGCTGCTTTCCTGACCTAGGCTTCTTTACGTGACTTCAGGATACAAATCACACTTTTACTCCTAGTAAGACATATTTTCCCTTCATGCTTAAACATACGTTCCTTCAGAATTTCCATCTGCAAATCTAATCATGATTCAGACAATTCATTGTAATAACATCTTTATTGATTGGTTTCCTGGACTAGAAATTCACAGACTTGACCAGATCATTGATCAAATGATCACTTGGTCAGATCCATGTACAACCTCTGACAATAACAAAACAACTTCAATCAGACTCAGAAACTGGCAGTCATAAAATTAGTTGACCCACAGGTGACAAACATGTCAACAAGCATGAGATCTCATGGTTTCTGTGAACACTTATGTTACTTTTCTGTGGGCATCCTTAAAATAGGATCATAGATTCGTAGACTCATAAAATCATAGAACCATAGAACAGTTAGTGTTGGAAGGGACCTCCCAAGTTCATCTAGTCTGACCCCCCTGCAATGATCATGGACATCTTCAGATAGATCAGGTTGCTCAGAACCACATCCAGACTGGCCTTGAATGTCTCCAAGGATGGTGCATCTACAACCTCTCTGGTCAACCGGTTTCAGTATTTTATCACCCTCATTATAAAAAAATTCTTCCTCACATCTAGCCTGAATCTTCCCTCTTTTAGTTTAAAACCATTACCCATACTAAAAAGTGTCTCCCCATCTTTCTTATAGGTCTCTTTTAACTACTGAAAGGCCACAATAAGTTCTCTCTGGAGTCTTCTCTTGTCCACGCTGAACAACCCTAGCTTTTCCTCATAGGAGAGGTGTTCCATCCCCCTGATAATTTTTTTGTGGCCCTCCTCTGGACCCTCTTCAAGAGGACCATAATTTTCCTGTACTGAGGACTGCAGAGCTGGATAAGGTACTCCAGGTGGGGTCTCACCAGGGCAGAGTAGAGGGGCACAATCACCTCCCCTGACCTGCTGCCACACTGCTCTGGATGCAGCCCAAGACACAGCTGGCCTTCTAGGCTGCAAGTGCACATTGCCAGCTCATGTCAATCTTTCATCCACCAGTACCCCCAAGACCTTCTCCTCTGGGGTACTCAATCCCTGCATCTCCCAGCCTGTATTGATACTGGAGGTTGCGCTGACCCAGGTGCAGCATCTTGCACTTGACCTCGTTGAACCTCATGAGGTTCACATGGGCCCACTTCTCGAGCTTGTCCAAATCCCTCTGGATGGCATACCTTTCCTCTAGCATGCCAGTTGCACCACTCAGCTCAGTGTCATCTGCAGACTTGCTGACAAAGCACTCAATTCTACTATATCATTGATGAAGATATTAAACGCTACTGGTCGCAGTACAGACCCCAGTACAGACCCCAGAGGAACGCCACTGGTGTCCATCTAAATGCTAAGACATTGGCCACTACCTTCTGGATGTGACCATCCAGCCAATTCCTCATCCACTGATCAGTCCACTCATCAAATTCATCTCCAATCCCTCCAATTTTGAGAAAAGGATATTGTGGGGGATCTTGTCAAAAGCTTTACAGAAGTCCAGATAGACAACATCCATAGCCTTTCCTTTGTCCACTGATTTTGGGGGATTCTTCTTTTCTAAATAAAAGCTCAACTTTCCAGCCTACATCACCTACATAAGTTCTTCATCTCGTTTATACTTTGTGGAAAGGGGTTTTGAAGGTAAGCAGAGCCTTATGCTTGGAAAGATGTGTGAGCAGTTTTACATGTTCTGTTTTCTGTTTTAGCTTGAGTTCCCACATGTCACATTAACACTATGAGAAAGGAGCAAGCATCCAACTTCCTGTACATTTCAAAAGTCAACCTTCTCTGGCTTTATATTACCATGAGCAATGTATCAGACCTTTGAGACTAATCCAAGAAAGCAACAGAAACAATCTGTACTTTTGGTTCCAAGTGTGAACATTTATCATCCAATAGGAGTAAAAAAAAAAAATTGCAGATGCATCTACACCAGCACATAGACCACCTGCTATAAATTTTACTCCCTAAGAGTTTGTCCTGTACCTGTGCAGTCTCTCCTAAGGAAAGAGGGATTATGTTAACCAGGAACAAGCTCTGCATGACCTCTCCATACCAGAAAAGAGAAAAGGAAAGTAGTAAAACACCTTTCTCAGTGTTCTGAGGTTGGTGTAAAGTTACTAAGTGTAGCAGCTCCTCTGTATCTTTACAGAACTTTGCTGCCAAAAGTATCACTTCCTTTAAACAACTTGCTGCAGAGGTGTTGTAGTGGAAGCACACTCAGGGCTATCTAAATGTCACAACAGGACAAGACAGGTGAAGTAAATTGCTTAAACCAACATGAAATTGTAACATCTGTGACTGGGGAAGCAATAAAGATGATTATATCCTTACTCTTCCATGAGGGTCAGCAAGAGGTTGAGAGTAATTGAGCTTTTACTTGTCTTACAAAAGGAAAGCAGGGTACCCATATGGCATTATTGGCAGCACAACACCATCAGCGTGCAGGTGGGTAGCGTACAACATCTGGAAAGCACACAGCTGGGTCTGCCTTGCTGTTCAGGGCAGCAAGATTTCGCTGTGCAGCTGCCCATAGAGCTACAGCTACACTACAAACAGCAGAAGGCACAGACCTTTTCAGGGTGGCAGGCAAAAAAATACTCAGTAGCTAAGCAAGAACTCAAGGCAATGTCAGGCGAGACATAAGCATGCACTTTTAACAGGGGCAACGAATGGGGAAGCAATCTGCAGGAGAGAACAGTGTATGTGCTTTTTCTCTAGTCACATTAAAATCAAGATCTATTGTTTTCCTAAAAGCGCTCTGGAGTTCAGCTAAGCCAGGAAATCCTCTATTCACATTTGAGAAAAAATTGCCAGGCAAATTAGCACCATTATTTCCTGGAGACCGATAAAGAATAAGAATGCCAGCTTTCAAGTAAAGCACAAAGAGATTGCTCAGTGCCCTTGAAAATCAAGGACAAAAAGTCTTCTGATATCACAGCAGTTGACTTAGCACTATGGGAAGAATAGGAGTGCCTGTATCTCTCACAGTTTCACTTCTTTCAATTACTAAGGACAAAAATGGTAGTTGCTACATGATAGTCATGAGCTGGGCTCTCTGTTCAACTTTCTAATGGAGATAAAGCACTACACTGAGGTACTGGGGACTTAAGTTGTCTTGGGATGTGAAATGATTCATAACCAGCCACTGGACCAAGAGGCTTATGTGAAAATAATACAGTACTACTTTTACCTCCATCCGCTTTGCAAGCTGTGCTTAGTGTGAAGCTCAAGTCATGCAGGGGCATAAGCATTGAACTGATTACCATTATTTTTAAAGGAAAAAAGAAAACCCATGCCACTTAATAAGATTCAGGATTTGGTACAGGAGCTTTAGGAGACTGAAACTGATGCCAGGAACATTTTATTGCTGTGGGAAATTATTGCCTGCTATATATCTTAGTTTTCCCCTCCAGGTCAGACACAGGAGACAGAGTGGGTGGAATTCATCTGCTCTGTGTGTCCCAAAGCTAGAGATTACAGTCTTATTCACTCCAGGTTCCCTTTATCACTGATGGGGAGAAAAGCATCTCTACAGGGTGAATAATCTCATCTTAAAACAAAATAAACCACTCTCTGCAGCTGCCTTTACACTAATTACAAAAAGAGATGGGAATGACCAGTATCACAGAGGACCATGGAACACCTGCGATGCCTTGAGTGAGAGTCAAAGGCTGGACAATGTGCCCTAGGACTTCCCAAATGGTGTCAGAGATCTACACAGGTGTGTGAATTGTTCCTTCAGTTAGAAGAGCTGAATCTCATACTTTGGAAGATAAGAGATAAATATTTGTTGCATAGTAGAAATTTGGAGCTATCTTAGCATCTCTTCTTCTATGCCCAGTAGATATATTTTCTCCTGCTTCAAATCAGTGATATTATATTTGTACCACTAATAAATTATTCATCAACTGAACCACAAACCAATGTAATCTGTACTGATTCCTGGGCCTTTTTTTATGTCAAGGTTAATCATAGAATCATAGAATCACAGAATGGTTTGGGTTGGAAGGGACCTTTAAATCTCATCCAGTTCCAACCCCCTCCCACAGGCAGGAACACCTTCCACCAGACCAGGTTGCTCAAAGCCCCATCCAACCTGGCCTTGAACACTGCCAGGGATGGCGCAGCCACAGCTTCTCTGGGCAACCTGTGCCAGGGCCTCATCACCCTCATAGGGAAGGACTTCTTCCTCAGATTTCATCTCAGTCTCCCTTCTGTCAGTTTAAATCCATTCCCCCTTGTCCTGTCCCTACCTGCCCTTGTCAAAAGCCCCTCTCCAGCTTTCTTGTCGGCCCCTTTAT